GTCTATTCGATCCTCCATCTCAACCCGCAATGGTTTATTGTGGTTCACACCCATTCATACTAGAACAAATAAAACCAGCTTCTTAACGAAGCCGATTAGTTTGTATGATGAGTGGTCTTTCAGTTCGGCTCTGCCGAACTCTAAAAACCTTCTTCGATCCCCCCACCACGGCAGGCACAAAGTATGTGCTCTGCTGTTTCATCATTTTCCAAACACACACTGTCTTCTGACAGTCCGATTTTCTGCATATGATGATTCAAATTACAGTGACCTGTAAGAAAGAATGCTAGACATCGTAGTTCATCCCTATTGTAGTTCAACAACTGTTTGGTATCAAGCTTCAAAGGGTGAATAAATGTCTTGGAGTGAGCCAATCCTGGAAGATTCTAAAAAAAAATTGTTTAATGTCTAAACAGGAATAAATCCCAATAACAAGACATTAATATTATTAACAAGCATGTTACAGTTTATATCTGCCTATATACACACAATACACATACATATATACATAAATACATACACATATACATGTGTATGTATATAGGTACCAATATATTAACTAGAAACACCTGACGCGAGTAAACAAAAAATAAAATAAAGTAAACATTAGGGAGAGTTAGGCAAAAAATTAGGTGGAACACTTGTGTGCAGCAAACTAGGAGAGTAATTGAAAAAAAAACTTAAGTCAGATATAGAGCTAACAAGTAAAAACTTAGTTCAGGTGTATTACAAAAAAAACATAATTCAGCAGTAATATAGTAGTAGTAATAAGTTCACATGGTAGAATAACTTTCAAGTTAGGCTCATGTATTTTAACTAGAGTGTAAAAGTTTCTTAACGTGGTTCTTAACTTGACCAATAGGTTCATAATAAATGTCGAGATTTTCACAGAGTCGATAAAAAGTCTGATCATTTCTAGAATTGATTCGTGGGACATGTAAGTTGAAGTGGGAGAGTAGTTCGGGACAGTCAATCAGATTATTTACTAGTAGCAGGTTCTTCGGTTTTGAAGGGATAATAGATTAAATTTATTCAGTAGTATTCTGTTGTCGAAGCCTTGTTCAGGGTAAACTCCTTCTAGCTTGTAAGTAATATATTTCATGAAGCCTCTTTGTATAGATTTTGTTTATGTGGACATTGTATATAGGTGACCATATAAGGGAGGCATATTCCAGCCGAGATTTGACGTGAGCATTGAAAAGAGTTAAAAAACTGTCTCTGCTACAAAAGTTCTTACAGTTGCGATAAATGAGCCCTAGCATCCGTTTGGCTGAGCATGTTATTTTGTCATAGTGGATAGAGAAACTCAGTTTAGGGTCAAATGTGACACCAAGAACCCTTTGATGAGTGCTTATTTGAAGAGGTGTGTTATTTATGCAGTAATCATGAAAAATAACATTATGTTCAAGGGTGTATTTTGAGTATTTACATTTGTTTGTAATGAGGGGAAGATTATTTTCGGTACACCAAATGTACAAAAAGTCAAGGTCTTTTTGTAAGATTAAGCAGTCATCCTGTGATGTAATGGGCCGAAAGGTTTTCAAATCATCTGCAAAGAGTTAGAAATTGCAGAAAAAGTATTTCCTATGTCGTTAATGAAGAGTGAGAATAAAAGAGGTGCTGAATTGCTTCCTTGAGGGACACCACTGGTTGCAATAAATTGGAAGGACTTGTGCCCTATAATTTACAAATAGGATACGTTCAGTTAAGTATGAGCGGAAAAGGTTTAAGAGTTGGGAGTCGAATCCATATTGGTGAAGTTTATTGATAAGAATGTTATGATCCAACTTGTCAAACGCCTTCGACAAATCTGTGTAGATAGTATCTACTTGTAGGTTATTATTAAGTGCATTACTTACTGATGCTGTAAAGCACATTAAGTTAGTTATTGTTGATCTTTTGCTAAAGAAACCGTGTTGATTATCTGAAATCAAATTCTCAACATCAGAAAAGATTCTGTTGTGCAAGCACATCTCAAAAGCCTTTGCAAAGTTTGATAACAAGGTTATAGGTCGGTAGTTTTGGATATTGTTTATTGCACCAGCTTGGGCAAATTTTTGATATTTTCCATTTGTTAGGAAAGCATCCTGTACTCAGTGTTAGATTGAAGATTGACTGTAACGGTATTTCTAGGAGGTGTGCACAATCTTTAACGAAAAAGCTAGGTATGTTATCATCCCCGCTTCTGAGTTTTGATTTTAGTTTGTTGAGAGAATTGCAGATTTCAATTAGTGAAAAATGTTTTGCAGGAATGATAGGATTGTTTGAGGTAACATTCTTGTGTTCATATGATTGTAGGGGTGGAGAATATGCACTTTCAAAAAATTGTGCGAATTCATTAACGATTTCGGATGCATTGTTTTATTCAACATCGTATGTATGGTAAGAATAAAGAAGTGGTTGCACTTGTGTCAAAGGCTGTAGAAAATGATGATGGTTCAAAACCAATAGTCTTACATTGTATCATTCATCAACAGTCCTTTTTCTCTGTTTTCTTCTTCAACTTATCACAGCAATAGTAACAACAATTAGGTAATCATTGGCTGTCGTGGGCAAGATTGATGACAGTAAATCATTGTAAATCATTGGCTGTCGCGGGCCGGATTGATGACACTAGCGGGCCGGATTTGGCCCGCGGGCTGTAGTTTAGAGACCCCTGCTCTAGAGTTTCAAATAATTTCAGGATATGTGCTTCGCTAGTACTTGGAGGTATGTAAATCACAAACATGAAAAAAATATTGTGCTTGAATACAATCTCACAACATATGACATCAATAGTAGAGAAATTACCCTCGAATTCAGAAAGATCAATTTTAACAGCCTGACAGTCATCTCTCACTGCTAACAGAACGCCACCACCTCTTGATACGAAGCATGCTTCGAGGTTTCTGTCTTTTCTGAAGACCACATAATATTCTGCCGGTAGTCCATAAATCTTTCAGATTGCTGCTTGCAGCACCCTCCTTTGCAAAGGAGTCAGCAGCCTCATTGCCTTCCAGGCCAGTATGGTCAGGAATCCAGACCAGAGACAATCTATTAAGTCTTCCTATCGAGAATAGTCGTTTTTGGCAATTTGCTACCAATTTAGACATTGCTCGTCGTTGCTTCTAACGATTTGCTTACATTCCATCTCCATAAATTGCAGAATCTTCAAGAGCTCCACGACGATAATAACGATAGAAGAATAGTTTTGTGGAATCATGTCTCGTCGAGTCAATACCATCCCTAATCTTCTGTTAAGCATCTGTTTCCCCGATGAGTGGTAAATTTTTCTGAATGGCAATGTTAATAAACAAAATTATCGCTATTGGAGTGACGCAAATACACATATTTTTCGGGAAGGGTATATTCAATACCCACAAAAAGTAACGTTTAGGCTGGTATTCTTGGTCTCTTATTTATGGAGGAAAACTTGACTGGCAATCTGTACCATGAAATGCTTGAAGATACTTTCGATTCCTTTATAACTCACGAGCTAGAAACCCAAATGGATGCAGAAGGTAATGGACTTTTATAGAAGGATCTGTTACATTTCCAGCAAGACGGTTCTCCACCTTATTATTTTCCACCCGTCCAACAGTGGTTAAACGAAAGATTTCTGGATGGATTGATTGGAAGAAGGAGAGCAGTTGAATGGCCTCCAAGATCACCGCATTCAACACTCTTAGAGTTCTGTCTTTGAGGGCATCTTGAATCCGTTATTGAACACAATCTCCTGATATTGAAAAACTCACAGAATTACAGCAGCATGCCAGTCAATTTCAAATGAAGTTTTCCGTTATGTTAGAGAAGAGTTCGAAAACAGACTTTATTACTGTTTAAGGCAAAATAGACGACATTATTTCGAATACTTTATAAGATAGGCGTAAGTAGATTTTATGTTTGAAATGTCTTTCTTGCATATTATATGTTATTTTGCAAAAGGACAATAACCAATAAATGAAAAATCCCGCTCGTAATATATTTATTCCTGTCATTCAAGGGTAGGAACAGTGCCACCTACTCTTCTAACCTTTTTTTTTTCACTACTAACCTTTATTTTTAATGACATTAACCCATTGTAGTTCAACAACAACAAACTTCCTTGATGTTCTGTTCTTTGAAATAAGAATATTTATTATGATAATATAATCGCAAACATCTAAATCGTCTAGGAGCATATTGCATAATTCATCTGTTCTGCACCGGCAACACCAATTACCATGACAGCCCAAATATCATTTCATTAAAAAATCAAACACAATCTAATAATAAAAAAGTATACGTTTTTTGATAAATAGTCGTCATCAAGAACTTCAACTATAAATTTTTCAATTCCTTCCTTTGTAAATACTTTTCATTTCTTAGGTTTATAATTACTATTTTTTCGTTTTATCAATCAAAATGATGTGCCACTTGACCTCTCTTCCCATTTAAAATTCTAAGGGTAACATCTACCCCTCTTTGAGGGTTGAATCACGAGGGCTCCAAATATCCCTTGAAAGTGTCCCCCTTGACTATGAAATTGGCCTGTTTTTTTGATTCCTGGAAGGAAGATATTAAGGGTGGGAAGTTTTGAAATTGACACCCTGTATTTCATATTGAGTACATTTGATTTCGTATCTATAACTTCAAATCTCAAATTGGAGATGGCTCTGTCTAATGTTCTGCAGAATGGAACTTGTGAAGATCTAGATATCGGAGTTTAAAATGCAATGCTGGATATTTTTCATAGAATGAATATCAAAATGCTGAAGAATTTTATAAAATGAACTCAAAATTAATACTAATAGTGAATTTCCAAAATGATAGTAATTCTTCACTTACATGTTCGTTCTTCACATTGAAAAAAAAATTATATAATGAAAATAGATACCTTTCTTCAGTGTATTCTGTATTTTCGTGATGTTTGAATAATTGCATCATAAAGTCTTTTTTTACGAATTCAAGATACATGCATGGAAGGATGCATGGATGTTTATCTTATCCAAAATAGTTCATTACATTTGTTTTCATTTCAGATTTGACTTTGTCGTTGTGTGTTTTTTTGCCAAACGTTCCTGAAAAAAAACAAGAAGACTTCAAGAAGATATTTAGGAAACTAACAAGAGAAGGGAAGACAATTGAAATTGCTAACAGAGAAGGGACAGAAATCATTAAGTACAACTACAAACTGTGTACCATCTTGGCATGGAAAGCATAATATTATATTTATTACATTTATTTTGTATCCCAGTTTCCAATCTTCATATTTGTCATATATTATTCGATTCGTTTCTTTAATCATAATTGACGTGTTATAATGAAAGTACACAAACTAACATCAAACCATCATCAAAAATAACATTGGTGAAAAGGATAAATGTCAAAATGTTCGGATCATTTTTATTCAATTGTTGAACTCAGTGAAAGGAGTTGAAATAGGTCTGATGATCAAATCGATAACATGAGTTTTTTTTTTTCACTATCATAAAATTTTCTTATTCGTGTAGGTATTTTTAAACATCTTTGTTATAACTATTGTTATGTTGTTCTTCTTTTATTGTAGAAGTTTGAAATAATTAGCTGATGATGAATCTATATAGTTTCGAAACATATACTAATTGATGGTTCTACCGTTCTAACATTTGAGAGTGATAATAAATTGTGGAGACGACTTTAAGTTTTTATGTTTCGCAAATATACTACCCTCCACTTCGAGATAAAATGGACTTCTACCACAGATCACCTATTCATTTCATATGGATGAACTTGAATGTTATGTCTCTGTAAAAAAACTCCATCTGTGCTTGTGGGTTCTATCGTCATATCTTATTTCCATAATTGAAAGAGTATTTTTTTCATTTTATCAAGTTACTGTACTCCTTCAAATGTCTTTTCATAAGATCCAGACGGTTATTCTCCGCATTCTGTTGGTATGCAATCATTGCTAAAGAGACTTATACTCACCTACGGGTGCAAGGACACCCTCCGCAGCAGATATCAGCAGATATCGTCCGATTCACAGTTTCATAACACTTCTACTGACAACAAAGATGCCGTGGACTCTTAAGTTTGAAGTGGTATCGGATGGATCGATCCTGTGGAATCATCTGGAATTTGGATACCCTCCTCGGCATGATTCGCAACTATAAAAGTTCAGAAATTGTAGCATTTCTTTTTGAGACAGCTGCTTGACCGGCTGATGAACTTGATTCACTTTTCGACACTGAACGGGGCGATCATAACACTCTCAACATGTTGAAACCAGTTCAGCAGAAGGCCCACATGGAAGCCGCAGAGATCACTTCACTCCTGCGCATCACAAGGATAATCCAGTGCTTGGTGTCTGCTTCAACAACATTGTAGACCTCGAGTCATCAGAGCACTTGACCTTCGCTTTCCTCAGGCCGAGTGGACTGAAGTCAAAAACTGGGGGATGCATCATGGTCAGCTAGGATGGAGATTTGGATGCCTTGGTCCACTGTAGACGTGTCATGTTTATACGTATACACGTATACAATAGCTTTCTCGATCGTACTCATACTTCATACTTAATATGACATCATCAGTGTCATGCAAGCCTGATGTGGTTATTTTGGTCCATCTGAGCAAGACTGTATTCGTGATGGAGTTTCAAGTCTCCGACGAGTTAAATATCGTCCAATAAAGGAAAATATCAAAATTTATTTCTACAAACTCAGCCGACTCTATCCATACCACTCTTCAAAATTGTTCTGATTATTGTCACAAGTGAATTCAGGTACTCAATCAAGCTGAGTACCTCTATTATTACCAATAGTGGTGTTATATAAGGGCTAATGTATCAATCATCTTAGTTCAATGTATAAGTTTGAAAATGTCCTCATAGGACGAAACTGGTAAAAAACAGAAAGTTTCAATTCTTTTTTCTTCATTATGATTTTCTACCACGTAGTAACTAAAAATTTCGGAGAAGTTACCTAGAGTTTTGGTGAATGAAAATGAGATTTGTGATAACTTGGGCGGTATTCAATTAGCTGATGAAAATTTTTATCAACCGGGAGAAATTGACGGAATTATAGGAGCTGAATTGTTTACAGAATTAATAAAGTCAGGACGTATTGTTGATTCTAATGGTTCTCCTATTGCGGTAGAAACTGTTTTTGGTTATGTAATAATGGGTAAAATACCAATGAAAAATCTGATTTCGGAAGGTCAGACTTTTTTAGCATTAACGGATGAAATACCGGTTGAAAATTTAGTGAACAAATTTTGGGAAATAGAGTAAGTTCCAAAGTGTTCTCCGCCTGATCCAGACGAAGTAGAATGCGAAAAATTATATTTATCAGGTTATAGTAGAGATATTTCAGGACGATTTACTGTTGCCTTACCATTCAAGTACTCTCCAGCATGTTCAGGAAATTCAAGCAAGGCAGCTAGGTTACGGTTATTTTCTCTGGAAAGAAAATTTATGAAAATTCCTGATTTGAGGTCAACTAACAATGAAATTATGAAGGATTTTATTGATCAGGGACATATGCGTTTGGTCCTGAAGGATAGTTTCAATACGCCTAATTACTATATGCCACATCATTCAGTTTACAAACCAGAAAGTAGTAGTACACTGGTTAGAGTAGTTTCGGATGCAAGTTTTCTTTCAGATTCGGATGAATCTCTCAATGATTTGTTATACAGTGGTCCGAAGCTTCAAACAGATATCGTTACCCTATTGATCAATTTCAGATTATTCAAAATAGCTATAACAAGTGATTTGCGCCAAATGTATCGTCAAATAAATATTATAGAGAAGCACCGTAGATTTCAAAGACTATTTTGGCGATTTGATTTAGCGGATGAAATCCAAACTTATGAAATTTCTACAGTAGTTTTTGGAGTTGAATTCTCCCCTTATTTAGCTCTGAAAACGGTTAGGAAACTCATAGAAGAGGAAGGTGAACATTTTCCTGTCACCTCCCAGATCATACTGAGGGACCTATATATTGATGACTTGGTCTCTAGCGTAAATACTGAAGTTGAGGCCAAAATATTCGCGGCGGGTGGTTTCGATTTGACCAAATGGGCTACAAATTCGAATTCTTTGTCGAAAAAAAGACCAACTGATAAACAATTGTTGAAGACGGTACTCTTCCAAACTGATACCAAAATTTTAGGTTTACAGTGGAATCTTCAATTGGATATGTTGAGTTTTCAATTAACAGTTCCAGATTCACAAGGTTCAAGGAGAAAAATATTGTCATCAATCGTTCGATGTTATGACCCAATTGGTTTGATTGGCCCTTTTATATTTTATTTAAAACTGTTAGTTAAAGAATTGTGGAGGTTGAAACTAGGTTGGGATGACGAACCCCCAGATGAAATATCTAGGCGTTGGAATAGGGTCAGATCAGAATGGTCGGAGTTACATAGTTTTCAGGTGCGTAGGAGTTTAGGAGCAGAAGCGGATAATCCAGTTATGATTTTAGCATTTGGAGATGCTAGCCAGGATGGTTATGGGGCAGTGGTATATTTACGCACAATAACGTCCAATGGTAATGTCAACGTCAATTTGGTTTGTGCCAAGTCCAAAGTTTCACCTTTCAAGTTATTAACAATTCCTAGATTGGAATTATGTGCAGCGGTTCTTCTTTCCAATTTGGTGAAACATGTAATAGATACTTATACAAATCGAGTTTTCATTTCAAAGGTTTATGCATTTTCTGATTCCACTACTGTCATACAGTGGCTTCAATCAAACCATATTAAAGAAATGTTTGTGGCCAATCGAGTACAACATATTCGAGAGCAATTACCAAAAACAATTTGGCTTCACATTTCAGGAGATACCAATCCGGCGGATTGTCTTTCAAGGGGCTTAACTCCTGTTCAGTTAATAAACCACGCTTCTTGGTTAAGAGGACCTGATTGGATCAGTTTAACGGAAGAGAATTGGCCTGTATCGGATTTGAAAGTAGTGTGCGAACAAATACCGGAGAGAAAAGTTTTCCTTACTACAGAAACCGTAGAAAATCATCCCTTATACGACTTAATTCTTAGGTGTTCTTCTTGGTCACATATTTTGCGGACAACAGTATATGTATTGAGATTTTTGAAAATTCTTCCACGAAGTAGAACTATTTCGGCAACGGATCTGTGGAAAGCGGAATTGCGGTTGATTAAAATAGTCCAACATAAACATTTTCATCAGGATATTGAGCGTATATAAAAGAACATGAATTGCTCTACAAGGTTATGTAAATTGAAACATTTTCTTCAAGACGGTATATTGCGGGTTGGCGGTCGATTATCCCAATCAGATTTGGCCTTCAATCAACGACACCCCTAATTTTTTTTTCTCAATTTTGGCTGAAAACTTTAGTTTTTCAGAGCGTGCGGTATGTTCCGTATCGTTCGAAGTTTGTAAATACAGGTACAAATTATACAGTTCGGCAATCGCGCATTTTTTAAAAGGAAAACGAACTATATTGGTACGAAAAAGTAGTATGTTCTTTGCGTTTATGAGAGACGGAACTCATGGTATATTATTATTGGTTAATCAATCGGTTCGTGATACATTTTGAATTCAGTTATTTGTTTGCTGTGGAACAATTTTCGAAAGATCTTTCGATTAGAATTCATATTTCCTTCATTTTCCTATTTTACCTTCCTATTTTCCCTAATTGCCAACGTATTGGGTGGAAGGAAGGAACTAGCGACAGTTTTTGGGGTAAGTTGTGAATTTTTTAACCTAATCAGGTGATATTTGCAACAATGAATGAAGGAAATGAATACAAAAATATAGATATCATCGAGTGTGTATGATATAAATCAAAAGGAACAAATTCGTGGACGAAACACTCAAAAAATGGGGGCAAACTGCGGACACGTGTTTCTGGCTATTGGCCTCATCAGCGCGGTGCAGCCAATTGCAAAGATAGACAACAACTGGTTATCAAAAATGAAAAACATCACATATGCACGGCGTCACCAACTGAAGCTAACGGCACATTTGTGGTTTCAATTAGGAGACTTAGCATTCCCAGGCATCATCTAACATCACCACTTAGGCAGCTATAGTTACCTGCGTGACTTCCGGGTCCAGGAAATGAATACAGAAATATAGATATCATCGAGTGTTTATGATATAAATCAAAAGGAACAAATTCGTGGACGAAACACTCAAACTTCGTGGTTACCAAAAGATAGAAATACAAATGCACGGAGCCACCAGCAGGAGCCAACCACACATTTGTGGTTTCAGTTGATAGATCTTGTGTTTACAAGAAAACTTTCAAAATTGTGGTGATTTTGAGGCAGTTAAAGCTACCTGCGTGACATCCGGGTCCAGGAAATTATACAAATATAAAAGTTATTGCGTGTCTTGATATAGAAACAGAAGTTAATATCGGACATAGCACTCAACAAAGTGGCAAACCATAGACACGTTTTTCGGGCTTTTGGCCCATCATCAGTATGGTGCAGCCATACAGTGTTAGGATGGACCCGGTAGTATATCTTCCATCAAAATATGAATACGTAATGAGTTATTTTATGTGAAGTTTCATGAATGAAGTATCCATTTCTGACAATGCAGAAGATGAGTCTTGAATTGATCTTTGAATTTCTCAACACTATGGTTTTCAAGTTCTGAAGGAATTAAGTTGTAGAGTATCTAAATGGTTTGTCAGTTACTCATGTTGGACTGGCTTATTTTGGATGAAAATAATATGGATATAATAATAAACGCGTCGCGGTTTCGTGAACTTCAAACTGGAATTTGAATACTCATTTTCACGGTGCCTAATTTATGTTCCTTCCTCCTTGACTCTCCAAAGTATATCTTTTTCAGAAGATCATCCACTAGGTTCTGAGGAGACTCAAACCAGATTCAACTATAAAACGCTGTACTGACAGCAGTCAAAACACTATATATAAAAGTCAGATGGAGTTATCACCAGAGTCATGGTTGATCGCCAACAGCATCCAAAAAAACGATAGTAGTCGCATAGCTCCTTCAGTAATGGAGTTTCTTTGGTACTCACACCAATAGCTCGAAAAGTGACTCGAAATTGTCACGTTTCTTTAATTTTGCGCAACCAAAACGATCCTTTTTTTTATTTGATCGTCACGTGTCATGAAAAGTGGATCCTCTTCGACAACAGAAGACGTTCAGGACAGCGGTTGGACACTGATTATTAGTCACCCAGACACCTACCAAAGGCAAAAACCCATCGAAACAGACCATGATTACTGTATGGTGGTCAACGGCTGGTGTGATTTACTTCAACTTCCTGCAACTGGGCCAAACCATCACAGTGTAGTCCTATTGTGGGGAAATTGACGAAATGTACCAAAAAGTGCGTCAGCAGCCGGCACTGGTCAACAGACAAGATCTGATCCTGCTCAACGACAACGCCCGTCTGCACGTTCCACGAATCTTCGTCCGAAAGCGTCGAACTTCCACCTCACTCACCATACTCTCCGGACCTTTCACCAATCGACTTCCATATTTCCACATCGGTAATAACCTTCACCAATCAGAACCGAGCAGAAACGGTCTTCATCGACTACATCGAATCCCCAGCACGCAATTTTTATGCTGACTGCATCAATCGAATTGTGTTCACTGAGATATAACAGCTCAAATTTAACTCATATAAACGAACAAAACTTTTGAAAAAACTTAATATATTCCTATACGAGACTCAGCGCATATGTATGAATGATGATAGCGCGTGATCGCCTCGTGGCTTGCTGGAATTTGCAATGGTATTAGTTAAACAATCATAAACTGCTACAAAGCAGTGAAAATACTGTTTTGATGCAGATGCGTACTCAGATTCAGTTCGAAGTGCATCGTCGTTGCGCTCATTTCGTTGAGTTTAATTGTGTTCTTTGAATTTAATATTCTCAAATTGTAGTTTGGATACTGAGGATATTAGAAAAACTTACTCAACTTCGATCCATGTACTTAGCTCCAGCCAGCCAAAATGAGATTATCCTTGCCTTTTCCAACCTAACTGTCTGAAAGAGAAACTGTTGAATTATCTGGATAGAAACTGTGTGATTATGGAAAAACAATTTGACTTCAGGAAAAACCGAGGCACAGAAAATGCACTAAAGCTCACGAACGAAGTAATGAAGAATTTAGGTCTTTCAAAAAAATGTTTAGTTGTCTTTTTCGATGTAGCTAAAGTTTTCGACACTGTATCACACCATTTACTGCTGAACAAGTTATCAGACAACGGTATAAGAGATCCAGTGTTAGATTTATTTACCAGTTACCTGAATGGAAGGACTCAAGGACAAATTGTGAACAAAGAGACAAATAAAACAGGAGTGTGTGGATGCAGCGTCAACAAAATTATCAGGGAATATACCACACAACATGCATTTTTGGCGCCAAAAACCAACCAAAATCGTTAAAAAAATTGTATATTTGGTGAATGACTTTCGTGAAAATGCAATCAGAAGAATAGTGCAATAGAATTTTTTCGGAAATGAACTCCCTACTCTTGATAAGATACTTGAAGACATAAATGACGCATCGCACTTGGCAAGTTTCAAACGCAATTGTATAGATTATTGGAAACATCAAATTTCCAATATCAAAAACGAGGAAGGAATCGCTTGCTACCAGACGAAACAGAACAGAGTATATATTTGAAAAAAATTAAATCACAGAGAAATGAAAATGGAACGATTTGTTTTGTAGACGAGACTTGGGTTAATGCCACATACACCAAATGAATAATTTGGGTTGATATTTCCATCACTTTCTGAAGACAGGCATTTTTGATGGACTTTCGACAGGATTAAAAAATCTAACAGGTAAATTATTATCGAATTATATTATTCACATTTATTTACTTTTGCTCCATTGAGATAAAAGCTATCTGAGGCTGGGTATATACTTCAGCATAAAAACAGCTTTTTTATTTGACCAAAGAAAAAAGGCTGAGTGTTTGCTACATTTTATGGCACTGTGTGGTTTCGAATCCGAAAAATCCGGAGCATAATACGAGGAAATGGATGGACATTTTTTCATTTTTTTGACGTGATGGTACATCAGAAAGTTCATTGATCACGTGCAGCATGAAGTGGAACAAAAAAAAAGTGGAAATTAGTCAATATTATAGAGCAACAAATTAAACGAATTGTGATAATTGTGAATGATAGTGACACGTTTTCTGATGAACTAGAATGGCAACACTAAATAAAATGATCTTCATCCAATATAAGCATTTGTATCACTTCCACTCCGAAGATTGAAAATGCTGTTTTTGCCTTCATTTCCAAACACTGTTTTATCACTTTCTAAGGAATTGAATAAAACTAGAACGACCAGCGATCACATTTAGAAGTCAGTGGTATTTACAATTTTCATAAATATACTGAAGAATGTTCTGACAAATGTCCTCATTGCGGCCCTGGTGAAAAATTTCATTGGCTTGCTCTTTCGCACATTTACTCAACTTCGGGTTGGAATATAGTTTTTATCTGAAAAGAAATAATAAATTGAATATCATCATCAAACATGTTCAGATTGAATAAGACAGTGCATGAGTTCGTAGTTCTACAGACCAGTGTTTTTGGTGAAAAAAGTTAACAACAACTAGGTAAAAATAATGAATTTTCCAAAGTTGTTTGCCGAGAACAATCGAATAACAACACAACTGATCCAGAAGCACTTGAAAGAATACAATCACTTGATTAAATGGAGAAATCAACCTTCGGTATTGGAAATTGGATACGGAGATGGAGGAAGTTCTCAGAAATCATTTTTTCCTTACTTACCGAAAGACTTGAAGGAATTTGTAGCTCTCGACAAATCCGAAAAGATGGTGGATTACGCTAGGAAAAACTCTATTCTGCCAACAATGAAAATAGAACAACTTGACATAACTACTAAACAACTTCCTAGAAGTTTGCATTCAATTTATATTTTTCTTCGCCACTTGGTTTTTTAATTGAGCCCATATTAGCTCGATCGGGTTAGACTCATAATGATCGTCTACAACTTATTTCTTCAACTTGCAATATTGAGTAATTGGACTATTAACATATGTAGTAGATTGGACGAGGTTACGGAATCATAAGCGTATTCACAGTATAACGATATAATAACGACTCTTCTACTTCAAGTCACAAACGGTAATGGATCAATACTACATTTCCTATCCGATTACATAATGTAATCGGCACTGTACTGATTAGTATCAATATTTATCTCTTAAGTGTAACTCGGCAGATGGTTATACATATTCACACCACTGTAAAATATGGAGTCCTTGACCAGAGAGTTGCAAGGAATAGGTAATTTTAAATTTTTTTGTACGCTCTGACGAGGTGTATAGTGATGGGTGGTAACCTCAAGTTTCATAAAGTGTTTCTTAATCAAACACACTGTCTCCAGAATAAAAAGAGCTACAACAGTTTGAACATTTAATCGTTTTCACAATCTGACTGCGACCATTGAGATACGACTCAAACCACCGTAGTGTTATCCCTCTACATCCATAGATATTCATCTTTCGTAGCAGTATTTTATGATCAAAGCAGTCAAACGCTTTTGTTAGGTCACAAAATACTGCTGCAGCAGCATCTCCATCATTCATATTGGAATACACCTCAAACAGGAAAGAGAATATTGCATCATGTATGCTCTTGTTGCTCTGGAATCCAATTTGATTTTCCTTATGATGTTATGGTGAAGGAAAAATTCATTGAGTCTTCTCTTAACTAGTTTTTCAATTATTTTTGCAATAGTAGGAATGAGAGATATTGGTCGATAATTTGAAGGATCATCTACAGAGTTACCTTTATACATTTATATAAAGGAATCACTATTGACAATTTTAGAAAGGATGGAAAGCTGCCATTTCTGAAGGTGAGATTGATTAGTGATACAAGAGTTCTGAGCGCTTCTATCGGAAGATTTTCAATAATTTTGATTGAAATTTCATCATAACTAAATGTTGATTTATTCCTTATATCACCAAAAACTTCGAACAGTTCATCAATATTCGTATCATCCAATTGAAGAGATTCATCGATTGAGTTTCTGTCCAATCGAACAGTAGAATTCATTTATATTGTTCACACTGATTGGTATTTCAATATCTCTGCTCTTTTTGGTACTATTTCTCAAATCATTCATGATAGACCAACTTTCTTTCATTTTATTTTGTGAGTTATCAATTCTATTCTATGTATCCGTCTTCTATGTATCCGTCTTTATCCGTGAGAATATTGAAATTGAAACTATCGGGAGGACTATCTGACTTCCATCTACCGGTATGATCAATATTTTGAAATAGTCAGTACGATATCTATTATATATGATGCTTAGCAGCTGAAATTAATTGTCTATAAAATATTTGAAAGTTTGGAAAGATTTCCTTTTGAAGGAAAACTTTTGATCGATGTATGTGAAGACTTACTTTCACTTGAACCTTGATATATTTTTCATAGCCTTCTCTCACACACTGAGAAAGTCTATATTCACTTTTTTTTGAGGAAAAATGTTCGTTTCGAAACAATAACATCAATTATTCTAATCTCTTACTATTGTGAAATTTCGTTCCAAATTGCACTAAATTGCTACTTTGAACATTTTGATTCAGATTTCATTTTTCGGTTGTTGTATTCTGTTGATTCATATTTCAGAAGAGTTTTGTATTTGTTCCAGGCGAGCTTTCCTGAATATGGACAAGATGCTCCAGCCAGGAGGATCGATATTCCTCACCTTTCTGGAGCAAACTTCTATAGATGACCCAATCGACAAGTTGTCGAAAAATCCAGAATGGAGCAAATATGGACTAGAGGATTCAATATCTCCTCACTACTATAGTGCTAACCCACGTCAAGAATGGGAAAATGATTTGAAAGAAACGGGCTTCCAGGATTATAAATTTTTTGAAGACTCCGACAATTTTGAGTTTTTTGGCGATGAATTCGATAGTAAGTATTTTTAAGTCACACCACCATCAGACTCTTATTATAGACAATTTTTGTTTTTCGAAAACCCTGTAAGGAGATAATGTAACATTTAATTTTCAATTTTATATTTTTTTGTGAGACAACACAAAGAAACCCTTTTTCGCCAATTTTGAATTGTAGGTTGCCGCAAGAAGGCCGGTAGTATCAGAACAGACGGAAACGTCATGCGAAACTATAAGAAAAACATTGAAAATGCATAAAATTCATTCTTATGAAACGCAGATTCTTCAAGAGCTCCACGAGGGTGATTATGATAGAAGAATAGAGTTTTATGATGTCATGTCTCATCGAGTCAATACCATCCCTAATCTTCTGTTAAACATATATTTCACCGAGTGTTCACTTTTTTCTGAATGGCAATTTTACCAAAATTATCGCTATTGGAATAACGAAAACTCTCATATTTTTCGGAAGGGCATACACAACACCCACAAGAAGTTAATGTATGGGCTGGTATTCTTGGAAATGCCATTATTGGTCCATCATTTCTGAAAGAAGACTTGACTGGCAATCTGTACCTTGAAATGCTTGAAGAGACTTTCGATCATCTTATAACTCACGAGATAGAAACTCAAATAAATGCAGAAGGTAAAGAACTTTCACAGGAGGATCTGTTACATTTTCAGCAGAACGGTTCTCCATCTCATTATTGTTTTTCCGTTTTACAGTGGTTAAACGAGAGATTTCCAGATAGATGGATTGGCAGAAGGAGATCAGTTGAAAGGTTTTCGAGATCACCGGAATCAACACTCTTGCATTTATTCCTTTGGAGTCTTCTTAAATTCGTTGTTTATAAAACACAACCTTGTGATATTGGAGAACTTAAAATACGGATTACACCAGATGAAGACTCTCTCCTGAATTGAATTTACAGGGAAATCAATTGGAGTCGTAAACTCGACATCCATCTCCTCTGTAGACTCGCTCCTGAACTAAATTCACGGGGAGGTCAGTTGGAGTCGTAAGCTCGACATCCATCTCCTTTATAGACTTAGCGTTAGAAAGAATGTTTTAAGTTTACTCTGTCCATAAATGTCCCACGAGTAGCTAGGGAAAGAAGGTCAATCACGGCAGAGCCCCGCATTACCGTGACAAGATGATGCTACGACGAGAGGGTGCCCGGTATCTCGAAGGTTCCGTAGAGACAGCTGATAGGCTCAGTGTCATTCATCCTCTCGGCACGAATACACACACCTTAGGATTAGGCCATCGTTGGGATGCCATTCAGTTAGGGAATAACAGAACCACAAGTGATTCTGTCATTCCCGTATCCAGCGGGGCTACGTGGAAGCAGACATCCGATGACCGGTTTGCTCAACCCCCACTTCCCAAGCCAATGCACTCGTCGAAAACAGCATGTACAATGGTTCAGGCACTGAAAGATGAACAAGGACAACCAACCCGTCCTGAGGACGCTAACTTCGTCAGCGAAACGCGCGTCGGGAGACGCAAGACACCCCAGAATACTGAATGAAGCAGCTCAAATTGAAATTTTGGAAATATATACTGCAAAGCCCACGAGCTCCTTACAATCGGTATCAGAACAGAAGGGAATGTCACGCGAAACTGTAAGTTAGATTAGGTTAGATCCAAAGTGAGTGGGTCTATTCGATTCTACATCTTAACCCGCAAGGGTTTATTGTGGTTCACACCCATTCACACCAAACCAAATATACCCAGCTTCTTAACGAAGCCGATTAGTTCATATGAAAGGTGGTCTTTAAGGTCAGATGGTAAGAGTACGGCTCTGCCGAAATCTAAAAACCTTCTTCGATCCCCAGCGGGACAGGCACAAAGTATGTGCTGTGCTGTTTCATCATTTTCCAAACAGAGGCGACACACACTGTCTTCCGACAGTCCGATTTTCTGCAAATGATGACTCAAATGACAGTGACCTGTAAGAAAACATGTTAGACATCGTAATTCATCCCTACTGTAGTCCAACAACTGTTCGATATCAAGCTTCAAAGGGTGAATAAACGTTTTGGAATGAGCCAATCCTGGAAGATTCTGCCAGTAGTCCATAAATCTTCCAGATTGCTGCTTGCACCACCTTCCTTTGCAAAGGAGTCAGCAGCCTCATTGCCTTCCAGACCAGTATGGACAGGAATCCAGCCAGAGACAATCTATTAAGTATTTCTATAGACAAGAGTCGTTTTTGTCAATTTGCTACCAATTTAGACATTGCTCGTCGTTGCTTCCAACGTATTGCATACATTCCATCCTTATGGAATACAGATTCTTCAAGAGCTCCACGAGAACAATAACGACAGAAAAATAGTTTTGTGAAATCATGTCTTGTCGAGTCGATACCATTCCTAATCTTCTGTTGAGCATCTGTTTCACCGATGAGTGTCACTTTTTTCTAAATGGCAATGTTAATGAACAAAATTATCGCTATTGGAGTGACGCAAACACACATATTTTTCAAGAAGAGTATATTCAGTACCCACAAAAAAGTAACGTTTAGGCTGGTATTCTTGGTCTCTTATTTCTGGAAGAAAACTTGACTGGCAATCTGTACCATGAAATGTTCGAAGATACTTTCGATCCTCTAATAACTCACGTGCTAGAAACTCAAATAAGTCCAAAAGCTAAAGAACTTTTGCGGGCGGATCTGTTACATTTTCAGCAGGACGGTTCTCCACCTTATTATTTTCTTTCCGTTCGACAGTGGTTAAACGAGAGATTTCCAGATAGATGGATTGGCAGAAGGAGAGCAGTTGAAAGGCTTTCGAGATCACCGGAATCAATATTCTTGCATTTCTTCATTTGGAGGCTTCTTAAATCCGTTGTTCACAAAACACAACCTTCTGATATTGGAGAACTTAAAATACGGATTACACCAGCATGCCTGTCAATTTTTAGTGAAGCTTTCCATTATGTTACGTTCCATTATGTTAGAGGGGAG